AAAGCCCTGCTCCAGACAGACTTTTTCCCTCTCAGACTTCAAAATATTGTGACCCTTGTGTTTTAGAATTTATAATTTAAAAACAATCAGCTATTTTTGGATGCTAAGCAATAATGGAGGATGAAACTTGTTTCACAGTTTATGTGATTCCATCTTTGTATTATTGCTTTCTTTTTGTAAAGGGAGAAAAACAAACTAAAATGACCAAACTAAAATGACCAAACACTTTTAATTCTGAAAAGTGTCTTTGGAGCATATGTAATTACATTTAGAAGATATTTTATGAGGATTTTTAATCACAGAGCAAAACAATTTCATAAAGATTTTAGTGAGGACTGATTTTTACACTTTACCATCTGTAGTCTCTCATGTAAGTTTTAGTGCTGTATATTGTGATAGACTAAATAGCCAGCTCCTTCATTAACACTTTCTTGGTTTTTGTTAGTTTGTGTTTCTTTCATAGGTTATAACCTTGAAAGGTTCTGAGTGCCTTCATGTTAACATGAACTGAGGACATTGGGCATCATGCAGTTTAGGGCCCATAGTTTGGAATGCACTGTGTGGTAAACATATCCCTAACTCTACTGGGTGAAGTTCATTTTCACTGGTAATTTAGAAAAAGGGTAAAACATAATAGGTGGGCTTCTTTTGGCTTATGTAATAAGCAGTGTTATTTAAACATTTTTTATTTCTGCTTAGGTGATATATTTAACACATGTTCTTGCTATTTAGGCAAGCCTGTCAGGTGGGAGGCAGTGTGCATCTCCTACTGGGAGCGTCACTCAGCAGTCAAGCATGTCACAGACCTCGGTATGTAATCAAAGTCCTAAATCCCAGTCTAGTCTTCAGTGTCCTGCAATGCAACTTCTTTTAAAGAAAAACATTTTTTTCATGCTTAAAATAAATAATCTGATTAAAATTATTGCAATGTATTGAGAAGCAAGTACATAAGGCTTGAGACTGTAGTGGTTAGAAGAAAAAGACAAGTTAGGTCATGGAATCCATTCATTAATGTAAGATATAGACCTAAAAAAGAACATCATGTGTTAATCTATTATCCGAACTAGTCTGAGATTTTCAAAGGAACCAAGATAGATAGTTGCCCAGTTCCCCTTTGAAAATCTCAACCTTTATCTCAAGAAAATATTAAGTGAAGTATCTAGGAAGCACTATCTGACATTCAGTTGCAGAATATTTTATAGCTGTTGGCCAGAATTTTAGAACTCAAATGACTAAAATTACATACTTAAATCCATATGACATAGGTAAAATAAAAGTAATTTGCTTTTCAGAACTGCTGAGCAAGCTGAGAGTAGCTCACACCATAAAAGATCAGGCCACTTTTTATTTATAGGCCTAAATATGGATTTAGGCACTTTACTTTAGACACCCAAATGGTAATAATGTTCTTAAAATATTAATTGCTGGCTTGTACCACACGTAATAATTACTCTGTTCATAGTAGCTGTTTAGATTAATGTTTCCACAACATTACCTTTTTTATTATCTATTGTTTCAGATTCTGATAGAGAAACAGTGTTGAAGTACACAAATACCCAGTTATTACCTGTTAATTATAACCCACTATATATAGTGCAGTGGTTTTCAACTTTTTTTCCATTTGCAAATCCCTAAAAATGTCAAATGGAAGTGTGGACCCATTTGGAAATAGTCTACAGACCACTGGTTGAAAAGCACTGTTGTATGGTAACCACAACCTTTCACAGAGCCCTTAGATATAGTCTGCGGACCCCCAGCATTTGACAACTATGGGCATATTGCAAAAATAGAAACACTTTCTTTGCCGTCTACAGTTATACATTTTTGGTTCTGTTCCTTTAAAGCACCACACTTCATTTGCATGACATAAAGTTTTTTTGCAAAGTTATGTTCTCATAAACTACATGTGCTTAATAAGGAGCTATCTGCTTGGTACGCGCCATCTCCATTGCAGCGCACCGCTGAACACCTCTAGTAAATCAGACGCAGAATATTACTAGAGATGGTTTCTGTTAGCCTCCAGTCAGTCTGTTAACTTGCATCTGTCAATTGGAAATGCTGAGGAACAGATTTAAATGTATAAGGTTTAATTTTTCAAAATTTCAGAAGCGTATTGTTGCACCAAATTTCACATTTCTAATTTGTAACACTAAGTATTGTCATTGCGTATTTAAATTGAAAATTTAGATGTACAAACTGTCCAATTAAAGAATATCTGGCCATCTTTTCATGTAGATACGCATTCATGATAACTTTATACAGAAATCAGAAGCTATTATACATAATTTTGAATTCTAATTCTGTGAAAACCAACAAAAGAATAGTAAAATTTTAATGTGGCAATGCTGGAAAGTATACAATCTTTGAAGTCTTAACATCATAAGTTTCAGGAAGACAGATTAAACTTTTTCAGTAGGTTCCACTTTTGAATACTGTATGATGGAATAGCTTTGAAAAACTAGATGCAACATATTACTATGCTTGCCAAAATATTTTTAGCCTAATGTTTTTCATAGTTGTGAGCTTAATTTTGAGCTTCAAATATTATTTTTCACTTTGTAATAACTCATCATATTAAACTACTTTGTAGTAAGATTACTAACAATTAGCAGACTACGAGTATTTAGAGAGACCAATACTATCTCACCCACCTTGTTTCTCTAATATCTTAGCATCAACACCATTAAGGGTGAGGCTTGCCAATTAACTGGTTAACCTTTTACATCCCTAAGTAACTCTGATAAATTATCCAAAAAAAAAATAACCTTTTCATTGATTAATGTTGTGTCTTCTCAACCATAATACATTAATTGCTGTCTTCAGTGCATTCATTCTTTATCTAGAACTTCCATTCACTACTCACAAAAATTAAAACACCTGTTGATTCAAAAATCACAGTTGAGCATTTATTACAAATGCTTACATTGAATCAAACAGTCATTAAGGTGAATTATGGATTGTCATGTGAATAATTCACAGTATAAATTTTAAATTGGCAATGTCATGTATGTATTTGTTTGTAATGGTCCTGTCCTGTCCAAAATGATATTCATATAACCTAATTTTTTTTATGTATGCATGCCTCATTAATTATTTAGAGCAGTGGTCTCCCCAACCTTTTTAACCACAAGATCACTTTTTTCAATTTAAGTGCAATGTAAGAGCTACCTCAAACCCAAATACACTTGCCCCACTTCCTTCCTGACCCTTCTTTGAGGCCCTGTCCCTGCTCCACCCCTTCTCCCAGGCCTCACCCTGCTCACTGCATCCCCTTTCCTCCTTCATCCTTACTCACTTTCACCAGGAGTTGGGGTGCAGGCTCTGGTCTTGAGCCAAGGGATTTAGTGTGTGGGGGGGCTCCAGGTTTAGTCCAGGGCAGGGGATTGGGGTCCAGGAGTGAGTTCAGGATGCAAGCTCTGGGAAGCAGTTTGGGTTCAGGAGGACTCACATCTGTGGTAGGTGGTTGGGTGCAGGGGGAGGTTCAGGGCTAGGACAGGGGTTTAGGAAGCAGGCTCTGGCTGGGCACTGTTTAATTGAGATGGCTTCCAGGTGGTGGAGCAGTGGAATTAAAGTAGGCTTCTTCCTGCTGTGGCCCTGCACCACTTCTGAAAGCAGCTGGCATGTACAGCAATGGCTCCATGGTGCCATGTGCTGCCCCTCATCTACAGGCCCTGAACCCACAGCTTCTACTGGTCACTGTTCCCCATTATTGATCAATGGGAGCTGCAGGATTGGTGTCTGCAGGCAAGAACAGCAGGTGGAGACCCCCTGCTCTGCCTTTCTCAGAGGCTGTAGGGACATGCCAGGCACTTCCAGAGCTAGGGATATTTACTCCAGCCATGATAGATTAGGCACCCACTACACAAAGAATTAAATTTGAGCGTAAGAGACAGGGCCAGTTCTAATGAATTTGTGGCCCTGGGCAGCTACCAAATGGTTTAAAAAAAAACTGGACAAAAATTTGTCAAGCAAAAGAAAAAAAGGATTGGGGAGTAACGTTGGGGGAGGATTTGGGAGGTTGGACTGAAATGCGGTCACATCCCGCCCCTACGACCAGCTCTGTCGGTGGCCCCTTAAAAATGGCGGCCACGGGCAACCACCGAGCTTGCCCACTCCTAAGACCAGCTTTGGTAAGAGAAATGAAAATTATGAAATGCACAGACCAGTCCAAAACTAACACACTTGGAAAGCAGTAAAAGAAGTAACAACAACCCCCTCACATATGTGTTGGGTCTGCAGATGGGAGTGAAGGGCAGTGTTTGTGAGAATCCACACACACACACACACACACACACACACACACCCATCCCCTTTTGTGTGTGTGGGGACGGGGAGCAAAGCAGCGGAACACGCGGGCAGCGGGACAGCCCAGACGCGCCGTGGCTATCCTGCTGCCCTCGGGCTCCGCGGCTTTGCTCTGCTCTGCTCCCCGTCCCCCAGGTCTGCAGACCAGGGGGAGGGGGAGCAGAGTAGAGCAGAGCGGCGGAACGCGCGGCCAGCTGACAGCCCAGACGTAAGTCAACTGAAGCGCCAGAACTTGATAGCTTCTAGGCTAAACCAGTCAGGATCACCTGTCAGAGGCTCTGAGACCTACCAGTAGATCCCGATCTACTGGGTGGTGACCACTGATTTAGATATCCTGGTGAATTATGCCAATGTACAATTCTTTGAAGCAAGTTATCTTTGACACTGTGTGAAAATGTTGGCTCAAAATTTCATTTTTCATTATTTTCACTAATTTACAATTTTATTAAAATACTGTGAATTTCTTCATTTGAAAATGTAATTGTCTGAACTCTTATTTTGTTATTCACATATCACTATAAAGGTGCTTAATCTTTATATAAAAGAAATAAACAACTCCTTGTTTTCCAGTCTAATTTAGATAGGCACATCACATGATTATTAAAGTGTGAGAAAAGGAACAGATAGTGTTGCATGTGGATTATTGTTGCCATTGGGTAGAATTGGTGCCTTAAACTAGTGGCAGACTGCACATCATATACATTGCTTACGTTGAGCTATTTCTATTTCATGGTCAATGCAAAACTGAAAATAAAACTTGTGGTGACAAGTAACTTTTCAGTTCATAGATTGGACTGCCCAAGCATGGCTGCATATAAATTGAATCATTATCATGAAAATGTATAATACAGCCACATGAATATTGTATTGCTGCTTATAAAAATACTGTACGAGTTTATACACACAGTAGCTGCGTTATTTTGATGAGAAGCAGTAGCAGTCATACAACTCAGATCAAAATACAGGCAGTCCCCGGGTTACGTACAAGATAGGGACTGTAGGTTTGTTCTTAAGTTGAATCTGTATGTAAGTCGGAACTGGCGTCCAGATTCAGCCGCTGCTGAAACTGACTGCTTATAAAAATACTGTACGAGTTTATACACACAGTAGCTGCGTTATTTTGATGAGAAGCAGTAGCAGTCATACAACTCAGATCAAAATACAGGCAGTCCCCGGGTTACGTACAAGATAGGGACTGTAGGTTTGTTCTTAAGTTGAATCTGTATGTAAGTCGGAACTGGCGTCCAGATTCAGCCGCTGCTGAAACTGATCAGTTTCAACAGTGG